ATTTTGGACATTATACGTTTTCAGATATATTGATTTCAATTACAAAACAAAATATACAGTGTTAAATATTTGTAATGAAAAATAAAGTGAGCACTTATTTTTTTATTGCACTAAAAAAACCAAAAGAAATGTATTACGTAAATTGAAAAATACTAAGTACTGTAGTGCAATGTCTTTATCATGAAAGTTGAACTTACAAATGTAGAATTATGTACAAAAACCCTGCATTCAAAAATAAAATGTAAAAATTTAGAGCCTGCAAGTCCACTAAGTCCTACTTCTTGTTTAGCCAATCGCTCAGACAAACAAGTTTGTTTACATTTGCAGAAGATAATGCTGCCTGCTTCTTGTTTATAATGTCACCTGAAAGTAAGAACAGGTATTTGCATGGCACTGTTGTAGCTAGTGTCTTAAGATATTTAGATGCCAGATGCACTGAAGATTCATATGTCCCTTCATGCTTCAACCACTATGCTGCGTCTCCTTGATGACCATCCAAAGCAGTGTAGACCTATGCATGTTCATTTTCATCATCATGAGTCAGCTGCCACCAGTAGAAGGTTGATTTTCTTTTTCTGGTTGTTTGGATTCTATAATTTCCACATCAGAGTGTTGCTCTTTTAAGACTTCTGAAAGCATGCTCTAACACCTCATCCCCTCAGATATTGGAAGGCACTTCAGATTCTTAAATCTTGGGTCAAGTGCTGTAGTTATCTTTAGAAATTTCACATTGGTATCTTCTTTGCATATTGTCAAATTTGCAGTGAAAGTTTTCTTAAAATGAAGATGTGCTGGGTCATCTGACACTGCTATAACATGAAATATGGCAGAATGCTAGTAAAACAGAGCAGGAGACATACAATTCTCCCCCAATGAGTTCAGTCACAAATTTAATTACCGCATTATTTTTTTAATGAGCATCATCAGCATGGAAGCATGTCCACTCAAACCATGGCTGAAGCATGAAGAGGCATATGAATCTTTAGCACATCTGGCAGATAAATATCTTGCAAGATCAGCTACAACAGTGCCATGCGAATGCCTGTTCTCACTTTCAGATGACATTGTAATTAAGTGGGCATTATCTCCCGTAAATGTAAACAAACTTATTTATCTTAGCGATTGGCTGAACAAAAAATAGGACTGAGTGGACTTGCAGGCTCTAAAGTTTTACATTGTTTTGTTTTGGAGTGCAGTTATATAACAAAAAAACCCTACATTTCTAAGTTGCACTTTCACAATAAAGAGATTGCACTACAGTACTTGTATGAGGTGAATTGAAAAATACTATTTCTTTTATCATTTTGACAGTGCAAATATTTGTAATGAAAAATATAAAGTGAGCACTTAACACTTTGTATTTTGTTTTGTAATTGAAATAGATACATTTGAAAATGTAGAAAAACATCCAAAATATTTAAATTTCAGTTGGCATTCTATTGTTTAACAGTGCAATTAATCACAATTAATTTTTTAAATTGATTAATTCTTTTGAGTTAATCGCATGAGTTAACTGCGATTAATTGACAGCCCTAATATTATATATTAACCATAGATTTGGTTTGGGATATGGCAATAATTTACCATACCTTTGACTAATCATTTATCGTTCAAGAAATTGGTTAATTAGGGTTGCTTTTGCTAAGAGCAGCAAGGGTCAGGCTACTCAGCAAACCCTCGCAGAACAAGAATGGATTCAGCCCCCTTAGACTACAGATCTTGAGAGTTGCAAAGGTCAATATTTCTATAGCCATACTATAAGCAAGGAGTCTTGCTGACACTATTCCCTGGTGGCCAGTACTCTCAAACACCAATCTCAGGAAGTTGGTGTGCTCCACTGGGTGCTGGGGAGAGCAAGTGAGACTGGGAGACAGGCTCGGTATCCTTCCTTCATAGAGTAGAAGGAAAAGGTTGCCTACCCCTGCACTAACACTATGGCATGCATGCCGAAGGCAGCACATGAGCTGATTTTCAGTGGCACTCACTCTGCCCGGGTCCTGGCGGGCTCTGCATTTTAATTTAATTTTAAATGAAGCTTCTTAAACATTTTAAAAACCTTATTTACTTTACATACAATAGTTGTGTTTATATATTATAGACTTATAGAAAGAGACCTTCTAAAAATGTTAAAATGTATTAGTGGCACGCAAAACCTTAAATTCGAGTGAATAAATGAAGACTCGGCACACCACTTCTGAAAGGTTGCCCACCCCTGTGTTAGTGGCCACCTCTAGCCATCCTTCCTCCCACACATGCAGTGGCTGAAGATTAGAGGTGTAAAAGCTGCTTCTCCGCCCATACATACCCCCTTCCATTCAATGAAGGGCCCCTGCCCAGATAAGGCAGAGGCAGCAGCTTACGTAACTCACTCCAGGAAACATTTTGTATGCACATTTATTTGAGACAGTGAAACAGAACTTGAAGTGTATTCACACTAATACATAAACAGCATAAACATGGATTTTAAGCAAGTCTTTGTACTGAAGGAACAGTATTATTTCAGAGGATGGTAAAAAAAATCCAAGGTAGTGTGTGTTAAAAACCACACATACTTAGGTACCCTTATTTCTTGGTAATGCATTTTTGAATACAAACCAAAATTGATAGAGGTTACCAAAAACCCCCACATCCACTCTCCATTTTCATACAGATCTTTATAAAAAGACATTGATTACACGGGCACAGCTTCTTTAAACTGTCTTAATTATGCCAGATGAAAATCTGGCATGTTTCATATTTTCAGTGTACCAGTCTGTCTACAGCACATGACTTTCATACTCTGTCAGATAATGAAACTACATTGAAATACATCATTTCCCTCAGACATTTTGCTATACTGCGTTCCATACCTATAAGAAATGCAGGCCCAAAATGTTTTAGCTTCTGTCATTCCTTATAGGAAGGACCTTGAATCTTAAACACATTTAGAGTAACTCATGCAGCTATGGACTTAAGCTGTTCTTTTAAAGGAGAGAAAGTTAGGGTGAAAATTTGTATTTTAGGGTCAAGCTCAATATTGGAGAACAGGAGAAAGGTGAGAGGGCAAACAAATTTTGCTTTTAAAAATTTAGCATCACTGGGTTTTTTTTATCATGGTCTCCCCTGTTATCACTGTTTATTATATAGGTGCTCAAGGGCTGACTTTCTGCCATTGACTCAAGTCATTGAAGAAAACTAAGGATTTTTATGATTTAGGATGGAGGTGGTAGGTCCAAAAACAGTTTTGCTTACACTCAGTTCATTTAGTCTTCAATAATATGTCTAGAAGTTCAGATTTTCCTACTTCATTCTCCTCCACAGTTAAAGGGCTTCTCAAATTCCCATACTGAAAGTTCAGTCATTACTTTAACGACTCCTACATAGAGAGCGGTCATGGTGGCTGGGCAAATTAAGGTTTTAAAAATAGGATGCCACATCTGCGTTAGACATAACACCTAGTGACTAAGAACCAGGAAGACTTTCTATCTCTACCCCCAAATAAATGCAGCATCTTAGAGAGTATATCAAGAGAGTGACATGACTGAGGCCTGGATACAATTTTAACTTCAGGTAAGGATAAAGAAAGTAGAAGTTTCACCAAGATTGTTCCCAATATCTGGAGACTAGATGTCAGATATCTATCCACCCAAGATTGGACATAGTAAGTAGGCCAGTCTGATCATTCCATTAACCGGTCAAAAATAGAACTGGTTTCTTGTCTGCTTGATTACCGTGATAACATTTATTTTATAGTCCATTCATTAGATAAGGGGAGGCAACCTATGGAACGTGTGCCGAAGGCGGCATGCGAGCTGATTTTCAGTGGCACTCACACTGCCCGGGTCCTGGCCACCGGTCCGCGGGGGCTCTGCATTTTAATTTAATTTTAAATGAAGCTTCTTAAACATTTTAAAAACCTTATTTACTTTACATACAATAGTTTAGTTATATATTATACTTATAGAAAGACTTTCTAAAAACATTAAAATGTATTAGTGGCACGCGAAACCTTAAATTAGAGTGAATAAATGAAGACTCCGCACACCTCTGAAAGGTTGCTGACCTCTGCACTAGATCCTAGGCAATGGAAACAATGTTTTCTGAATCAGAAAAGATTCCTGAATACTATTTAAATACTATAATGCTATGTTTCTACAGAATAAAGTGTCACTTTTTTGGAGTAGATTCCTAAATTCTTTATCTGGCAATATCCAGTAAGTTAATTGTTGCACCTTGTAATATATCCATCCCAAGGTATGTTCTGTGGAGAAACTTAGACAATTGACCAGAGGGGTGGAAGTCATAGCTGCCTCAAAATTTCTGTATTTCAAGTTACTAAAACCAAAAGTTAGATTTCCCCCACCCTCCCAGCTTCCTTTGTATATAAAGTGCTGTCAATAGTACTATCATTTTTACAGCTCCTTTTTATAGCTGTTAGCAAATAAGTCCCTGATCTTGTAAAAACATATGCTTAATTTTACCAATGCACAAAGACTATGCATTCGAATACAGTTAAGCAAACTGTGTCCACAGGACCCACCAATTAGACCTTTTGAAGCCATTGAAGAGAGAGGTGTGTGTGTGTGTGTGTGTGTGTGTACTTTGATAATTTAAGAATGTCTTTTAAACAGTGCTCCATCAGAAAATGGATTTAAGTTCAAGCCAACAGTGACTAAGGATCACTGTAGAGGAATGCATGTTGCATTCATCTAAGGTTTATGGTAAGTTTCCTAGTTTTGGCAGTGAAATTTAACAGTGACCTGCAATTCAACTGTTTCAACAGCAACTAAATTCATTGGACTGCTTATGAGAAATCTTGGCATGAGAACTTTAAGAATTGTGTTGCTGTGTCTACACTTCACTTAACCAATATTGCACTTTAATTTTGCTGTAACATTTCAGAGAATAAATACCTTAACAGTTTGGTCAATCTACTATTTGAGAATTACTTTACTTTAAAACTGACCAGTTTGACACATGAAAAAAGTGGAAAACATTAATTTTTACTTTTCCATGGACTGTTTCTTCACTTAAAGTTTTGAAGACTGAAGCGATTAGTTGAGGGTTTTTTTTACATTAAACTAAACTGACCTTTTAAACAGGTAATAGTGCCAGTTATATGAATAGATTTGTCAATCTGACAGGTTCAATCCATTAATGAACCAAGTTAGTGTAATATTGCATATATCCAGTGATCTTGATAATACACAAGGCCACATAAGCAGGAGATTGTGCATCTTTGCTTAACTGATCTTCAGATATTGCACATATTAGCCTACTGAAGCAGTATCAAAAAATGGGGCAGTGTACATGTCTGATGACTAGTTAAAGCACTTTGGTTCCAATTATAGCTGTACAAAAGCCAGAGATCTTGCATGCTCCGATAACTGCCATGATAAATGGCATGCCTCCACCCAATATTCTGTTTAATGGCTAAAACTTGACAGGTTTTATAGGCACATTTGTAATTTACAGAACATGCCAGTGTTCTAAAAAAGAGGATAAAAGACCCCACATACTAACTTTAATCCATTTGGGAAAATAGCATTGCCCCTGAGTTGACTATGGCAGGAGGGGAATGGAGAAAGTATTCTTTCAAAACCACTTTCCCTTCAGAAAGACAGTCTACAAAGAGGTGGCCATGTTTTGAATTTTAAGAAACTAAGTATAAGCTATTTCAGCCGACTTTTCAAGTTTGGTTAATATTAAATATGGTAATTTTAAGTATTTATCTTAAGATAAAACAGGACATCAAGAGGCAGTTTAATATGGCAATGAATGGAGCAGACTGAAAGGGGAAAAGAGTCTGCAGGCTTCAGTGAGAATGTATTCCCGTTTTTCTCAAAAGAACATTAAATACAAAAACACACATAAGAGTCTTTCACACAGGAATAATTACAGTGTGCCTGAATGGTTTTATTTATTGCTTAAAAATAAAGACTTTATCTGTATGCATCTCATTAAAAAGTAGCTTGTACTTATGACAACGCTTTCCTGTCACTTTAATAGGCAAGTACGAAAGACAGTGCATCTAACTTTGACACATGGACAGGGCTTATGACCTAAACTTTAACAACGTCAGACCAAGCAAAAACAGTGTGGCAAAAACCAGCATCCAGAGCCTGTGAGAAAGCAGGAGTTCCATTTAATGTAGGATTACCACAATCACTAGAGAAATTAATCCTTTTCACCAGCCAGCCTGCCCCCCCAAATTCTGACCATATTCATGAGTTGCAGAAGTCAAGACTTCACATAACCAGCCTCTTAACACGAGGCAAAGCAAGCTAGGTGAGTTTCCTCACTTGAACTTTTAGCATTCCAAAATATTTAGTTATAAAAATTGGTAACGCATTTTCCATTTACATTTACACTTTGTATTGGTGAATTACGTGCATTTGTTTTTATAATTAGTGAAGGCCTTTGTAACAGAATAATAACTATCTGAGTGATTTAAAAAACCCTTAAATTTATCTTAAGATGCATCTGAGGCATCCCTCTTTTCCATGCGCTACTAATCAAAGGTATCCCAAGACCAAGGTCTGAGTAATTCAAAATTACTCATCTAGTCATACTGTATGCTAGTTTCACAAAACAGTTTAAGACAGGTAACCAAAACTAGAACATTTTTATTTGTTGGCAGTCCTCTCCTGGATGAAGTTAAAGCTAGCATCTCAAAGCGTTAGTGTATGAATTATTTCTGGCCATTAGTTTTAATATGTGCAGATGGGTGATGCTTCCTTAGGTTTATTTTAACTGGGTGCATTACACTAAGGAAAGCCTGCTATTTGTGCTGGAATGTGTTTTACAGGTTCAAACTGGTTAAGAGTATTTGAAGTAAAATATTCTCAGCTAATAACTGGAGATGCACTTGCTAGCATCTGTATCACTGCAGTAGCCATGTCACATAGGACACTTGTTTCCCTTCCTGTTCTTACTTGCCAAGTGGTATGCTTACCTTGTATTGGGGCTTAGTGACAAAGTAAGGATGGGACCTCCTGCCATTGCTCAGCTATCCCTGTCCAGTTCAGGAAAACAGACCCACTTGCTCCAGGAGAGCTGTAGTTACAGGTCCTCACATTAGGGGGTAATCAACAGGGACGAAGTAGTATGTGTGGGAGAGGCGGCAGGCAGGCAGGAGTGGGAAGTCATGGGTATAAGGACACTCGTGGCAAAGAGGCAAGTGCTTATTTCAGCTACAACTTCTGTCAAGAATACTGTTCTGGAATACACCACAATATTCATCCTCTGAACTAACGCCTAGCCTGGATACGCGTCATACTGAATGTTGTCTGTATTCCTTTGAGAACAGAGTGTAAACACCACCCTCTGTTTTCATGTCAGAAGAAGGTAACCAACTGCTAGACAGCTGCTCTTTTAGTGGAGGATGAATGATAAACACCACATTTTCAATTTTATACAAAAAGAACAAAAATGTGTAAACACCCAAAAATAATCACCAATTCAAAGATAACCAAACCCAACACTTGGATTGTCCTTAATGCAGCACCATAGCAGCAGTCTGGTCTGAGGAACAAGAGTCTTGCTGCTCATTCTGTTGTATTTACATGCAAGAGTAAAGGTAACATTAGCAACACTGTGATTTACTGTCTGCTCTCAAGGGGTCTGGGTCCAGTTTTAGTTTGTTCACATCATTCTCTTCATTAGGAAAGCTTTTGTAGTTGGCAAGGATGTTTTCCACCAGAAATCGAGCAGCTTCATCTATGTTGATGTTGTCCTGAAAAAGTTGTGAAAGTTTAAAAAAAGTCAGTGATCTTTTCACCAACAGGTTATAGACACATCTGCCTATTAAAAAGATTGGCAAATACGATCTCTTTTGTGGAAATTGTAACTTGACTTAAGTGGCTTGGGTAGAATTGAACACATTGCTTAATATTTCTGCCTAAGGTGAAGGCTGCAAGTCCTTTAAAGCATGGGAAAGGTTATCTAGTTTCACTGTACATTCCTTATGTAGAGAAAGGATAGGTTCACCTAATTTGATGAAGGGGACACACTGGCCCATTTTCGTGTACAGTGTAGCTGGGTAAGTGCTTTACTTGGAGGGTCTGGTTCTAAAACATGGGTATTGTAGAAAAGTCTATAGGAATCTACAGAAATTCCCTAATCTGTAGAAGGAAGGTGGATAAGAACAGGACTTACTGCCTCAGTGAAATGATGAGAGGGGATGCAGTGACTTGGACATTGCCTATTTCAGTTTAAGGGAGCTGTCCCAGCAGACCCATCCAATTGTCCAAGCAGACATAAGAGCTACAATTAGAACCAATATCCAAATAAAAGCATGCCAAGTTTTCTTATCCAGTTCCTTGCCTCTCCTGCTTTGAAGAGAAAAAAGTAAGAAGGGCTTTGAAATGCAATGTGAACAACTGAGTCAGATTCTGACAAGGGAATCACTTTCAACCATAATGGGAAGTTGGGATAGGGCAATGGTTAATTATCTGACAGATAGGAGGATAGTCTGTCTTGGTACTTTGTGGGCCACAATAAAAATCCACGGAGCAAAGCATGTATACTTTGACTTGTTTGTTTAGAACTTGAAGATATGCGAGATACAGGGCATAGTCAAGCTTGAGCGAGGAATCTTCGCTGACTTCCCTCACTTCATTTAAAATGAAACAAGAAACTGAGTTTGAATTGATGGATTATTGAGGGATACAAATTAGTATCCTGACACTTGGCTATAATAGATTTTTTTGGGGGGGGGGGGAGAAAGGGGAGAAGAGGGAAATGTGGAAATAAAGGACTTGAAGTGAGAAAGTGACTAAAACGGAAGCTTCCTAAAATGAAGCATTAGAATGTTACCTTGCCAGAGATTTTACTGATGGCTCTCTCCATTTAAGTGAGATTTGGAAACCAATAGAACTTTAAAATACGTGGTCTAGGCATTTGGCAGCCTAACACCCCCTGGCATACCAGCGTGCACGCTGCCAGGTATTTACTTGAGTGGATTTTTTTGGCCATTTATTTTATCTTGCAAATATTGCAAGATAAGCTATAAATGGGTAGATGGCAAGGCTATCCATATTGTTTTTAAACCTTGCCTAGTAGCCTCAATGTTTTATAGACCATCAGTAATGGCATTAAAAAGACAAAATATTCAGTCTTGCATGCTCAGAGGCCTTAAATGCTGGGTTTTATAAAAGCTCAGAAGTAAATTATATTTTATATTAAGGGATGGCTTTGTTACTGTTAACCAAGAAAACTGAAGACCTCAGTCCTGTATTATGAAGGCTTCTGCAGGTGAAGCCCAGGCTGCTGGACTCCCAGGGCAAGGAAGCCTGCCTAAAGGGGCTACAATGGTGCAAGGTAACCGTAAAACTTTCCCCCTGCTGATTGAGTCTGCACTGGCCACCTGGGCCAAAGTAAACCACACTAGCTGATCGATGAAGGAGCTTGGTCAAGGCATTCAAAAGACTAGACAGTGCAATGTGTGATCTGTACAATCAGCATGTTCCATGGAGAACCCTGACAACATTTAGAGTCATCCTATCCTGGCACAGTTCCCCTGAAGGCAAGTTGCAGCTGCTCCCACAGCAACATGAGGATGTAATTTGCTAGTCAGTGCACCAACATGAGCCCATACACTTGCACAGGATGCATTTGGTTGTTACTGGTCACAGCAAACTATGTTCTGGGGCTGTGGGATTAACATTGTACAAGGATAAATAGGCACTGCCTGGGGATAGGGACAAATATGGAATTCCCCTTTTACTAGATTGACCTAGATATCCACATGTACATCTTGAGGGTATCAAAAAATATCCCCACTTCTGAAGGATTTTTATTATTTGCCATTATTTTTTTCATTTTGAGTGCACAAAGGAACTATGATTGAAGAGAGCCAAAGACAACTCAAAATGCTTTCTAAAATAGTTTTAACTGTAGCCCATCTCAGAACCTTAAATACAAACGTATTTGGGAACAAGTCAGTTCTCAACTTGCTTTCTGAGATGGGAATTTTTTATTCTGTTTCTCTGACAAGAAAATCTAGTGTGCTGTACTTACAGCATCAAAAGAAGTGCAGCTGCTGCACTGCTGTAAGAGACACTGAACCTTCAACTCAGTTTGGGTAGCAACTGCAATTTATGGATTAAAAAAGGTACAATATCCAGACAGATCTAAAAAAGTTAGAGAGAACAAAGTTACCCATAATGGAATTTCCAGCTACAAAGCTTCTGTTTAATCTAAGACAAGAAGCAGGGCATTCATCATTACACCAGCAATGCAAGTTTCCTGTAGCAACAAACTGACAAGCAGCGTTCTTGCATTATCAAAGTCTGTTAACGTTGTACAAGGCATGCTATCTTGCCTAAACTATTGTAACCTCTTTCCTGGCCTCTTCCCACCTCCTTCCACTGGGTTTGCTTAATGCAATCATCTCCTCTTAAGTGTCAAAGCTCTCCCTCTCTGCTCTTACTTAAGGTGTACCCTTCCTCCTCTACCCAGTCTCTTCTCAGAGGCCTTCTCTTCCCCCATTTTTCACTTCTCTTTTCACATGCTGGCTGCCTGGAACAGCTATCTCACATTTATGTCTATTTTCCTATGCTGACTCATCTCCGAGACAGTTGAAGGGGAAGTGGGCAACTAAATGGAGGGGAGCAAAGGGGCCTTGTGGTTTAGTGCACTATAATCAAAGGATCAAGTAGGACAATAGTCTTCAGAATTCAGACTCAATGAGTTAATTCCTAATATGAAAAACTGATTAAGGGAGATTCTATGAATTCCCTTAGGGAATTCACTACTGCAAAACTGTGGAAAGCACTCAAGTACTATGGTGATGGGCTGTTATGCAAAGAAAACAAAAACCACCACACAAAAAAAACAAAAACAAAACACCTCTATGCTAGACAGATTACATGAAAAGATGGCTAGAATTCATTAGTAGAATAAAACATTAACCATTTAAAGACTTGGCAAGAACCCTTTGCTTACCTTGGGAACGGACTGAAAAGTTTTTTCTTCCAACTCTTCAGATTCAGTTTTGCCATTTTGTGCAGTTAGTTTACCAGTTTAATCACATCCCATATGTAGCTACACAGATCAGGAATAATAATTTGTTGCTACAAATAGCTATTCGAATCAGATAAGTCAAGGAACAAACAGAATAAAATCTACTGTACCAGTTGTACATGATTCTTTAACAAGAGACGCATGACTACCAGTAGTTTAACTAAAGCAGTGACTCAGAAGACCTGGTTTTAAAAAGTTTCCCTTCCCCAGGATTTTAATTTTGGGTTCTTACACACCCTACCTTCCACAATGAACAGGAACATGAGCAGCTCAAAGTATGGCACAAACTCACATTGGGAAGAGAAACTGGGCAAAAAAGGACAAGGTAATTAGTCCCACAAAAAGGAACTATCAGCTGAGATATTGGTAAGTAGAGCCTGCCTCCAGGATCACTGATTAGCCAGTGCAAATTACTAGCTTAACAACTTTTACAAGACCATCCTTATTTTTCAGGAATACTCACCTTGGCAGATGTTTCAAACCACCCAATAAAACCACCTTCTCTGCAGAACTGGTCCATTTGAGAGGGATTCTGGCTGCCATCTTTTTTCTGGTCACACTTGTTTGCAAGGAGAACTGCAGGGATGGGGCTGCCATTTGGAAGTAGCACTTTACTGTCCAAGTCGTGTTTCCACTTGGAAACCGCTTCAAAAGTGGAGCCTCTTGTGACATCAAAGACCACAAGAGCACCAACTGCCTCCTTATAGTACACTCTTGTCATGTTACCAAAACGTTCCTGGCCTGAAAGAAACAGAGCAACAACTTTACATTTGTTTTTAAATCAGCAAAAGCTATGGATATAAACTGAAGTTATCCTAGGTAGATAAAACAATTTTTAAAACCAAGTTTGTCAGATTGATACATCTGACTCTAGGATTAAGTACAAAATTATAGTTCCTTATTCAGGTAAACTGGAAAAAGGAAGTCCCCTTGTTGTGTTCAATCAGCATACAAAGACCATTGCATAGATATGCAATGCATACCAGAGTATGGTACAACTGTTATAAGTTGATGAATGCTTCATATCAACCATTTGTCAATAGTCAGTGGTAGTGGTTTTTCTTAACTCCTCTTTGGAGAATAGCACATTGATAGTGTTTCCTAGGACAAAAGCAATGACCTCTGAAGGGTCACTGGCTTGCTAGACCTACACCAAGACGTTTCAAATAATTTCCTATGATTTCTTAAAAAGTGTTAGACCCTATAGTTGAACAACAGATTTCAGAGAGCCCACAGTGGATCTACAGAATGCTTAAATGTAACAGTTAGTTCAACAGTGCATACCATGACAGATGTTATGGGGACACATAGTATCTTTGAGAATACTGTATCATCTTTATGAATGCTATATAGATCTGTAAGAGCTAGAAGTTCTATTCTAGCTCCACAGAGGAGGTACAGGAATTTCCAACAGGAATTGAAGTCACTGGAGTAATGAATAAAAATCCTTAGACTGGAAACCAGTCTGGTGATGCCTCAGTCCTGGAGGAACTTACACATACCAGTTGGGTCACCTTTAACCAGGTCAAGGAACTGTAATTCACCAGCCTCACAGTGGAGAGGGACACTTGCTCAGTTGAAGACCCGACATGATGCTATGACCAAGCGTGACAGAACCTGCAGAAAGGGCCAGAAGTACTGCGAAACCTGCCAAGTTCTCCATTTCAAAGATAAATGACTGACTGCTTGACAAGTTAAGACCTCCATATAAGTGGTTTATGGCGATGTTCTCTCATGCTTTTGTTCTGGATAGATACTTTGCTTTATGAAAATTGGCTGTCACTGCCCTGGACTGCAACTGCTGAACTGAAGTCAGACTTACTCAGTTAATTGCAGCCCAAACCCCGACCTAGAAAGCTGTGGGATCCTGCTCTGAGAAAGGTCTTGGGCTATCACCTAATAGGTGTGCCCTCAAGGAGGCCATGAAAGGGTCAGAGATTCAGTTATGTTGAGAATTGACATACCATGTAGTAACAGTAGAAGTCTCCAGTTCTTCTCAGGGAATCAGACTTGGAGGATGAAGTGTATGTAACAAACATTACCCATCCCTTTCCCAGAAGGAGACAAGTACTTAAGAGACATTTGTTACTACAATGAACCCATTTTTAATTTAAGGTTAAGCCTTTTCAAACTCATCTCTGGAATGCCTTCTAACAATTAACTACTTTAGAGTTGAACAAGGAACCACACCAAATTATAAAAAAATGTAAGCCTCTTTTTGAGAGTTAGAGACAGGAGAATAGAATCTATTCAGACTTAAAATCTAGGCATATAGTGAAAGCCAGTTACGCTAGCTCAGGGGTCAGAAGTGGTGTGCCGAGGCTTCATTTATTCACTCCGATTTAAGGTTTCGTGTGCCAGTATTACATTTTAACGTTTTTAGAAGGTCTCTTTCTATAAGTCTATAATATATAACTAAACTATTGTTGTATGTAAAGTAAATAAGGTTTTTAAATGAAGCTTCTTAAACATTTTAAAATTAAGTTAAAATGCAGAGCCCCCTGGACCGGTGGCCAGGACCCGGGCAGTGTGAGTGCCACTGAAGATCAGCTCACGTGCCGCCTTTGGCGTGCTATAGGTTGCCTACCCCTGTGCTAGCTGTTGTCACTACTGCATCTCTAAAATACTGCTCTCCTTAAAATCACTAAGGAAGTTAAAAACTGTTAAAGCAGAAACATTTATTTTATGAATATACTTGTATGTGTTTAGACTGAAGCCAAGTTCATATTTTTTTACTTTCACTGCTGTGTGAAAAGCATGAAGCCTAGAAGCATGATCATAATAGTCTGGCCAAGAGCCATGTTTCAGTGTATGGTGCATTACAAAATGCTAGAATATCCATGAGAAAGTCGGGCATACATACAAGATCTGTATTACCATACTTGAATATCAAAGTGAGGTAAGGAAATTCAACTAGGAAGGGGAGGCGGGGGAAAGAGACACCTTCCACCGATATTTTATAGTGTATGTTTTATACCATGCCCATCATCATGGTAATCCTTTGGAACATACAGGATTTGCTTAATGCAAGCTCTTCTAATACAAGAGGTAGTTAAATAGCAACTACGCTATTGTCATCTCAGCTACATATTTGTAAGTGCTCAACAAGCAAATCTCTCTGCCCTATTAACTTTTTGGGTAAAGGAGATTGTTTAGCTGACTACAATATGCACTTCCCAGCAGAGGTAAACAAATATTAGCAGTACTGCACAACTCGCTAGGTAGGAAAGGAACTAAAACAGTTCAGCTCAGCAGCCAGTCCTTCTAGACCACTATCCTTATTTTAGTAATATCAGTTCTTAAATGTAATCTGAGATATCTGTTAGGAATGAACCTTTTTAGGATTAAAAAAAGGTGCCAGCCAAGCAGCTGCTAGAATCTGGAGTCAGCAATAACTGATAGAGTCATGTTCCCCCCCAGAACCATCTGATTGGAGTGTGAAGTGTTTTAAGAGGAATAAAATAAGCATCTTATTCAAGCTTGTACAGCTTAACATACTAAGTAAAACCACTTATTCATGTCTGAATATCTGTGACAGCAGAATTTTCTGAAGCTTTCATGATCTCAAACTTTGAATGCTCAGTAGCTGGCCTTTCAGTGACTTATTGCACATAACCCACCCATTTCCCTGGCTGGTCATCTCCTACTATGACCACCCTTCACCATTCCTTCCATAAACAACTCTCAAGGTTGCTTTCATCTGTCTAATGTGAGCAAAGTATGCAAGTTTGCAACTGATTTCTGACACCAGGGTCTGCTTCTCTTCAATAAATATTTCTAAAGTAGGCATTAGTCTTCCCCCATCCCCCTTCCAGGAAATACGCAAGAGCCTTTGCCAGCATTTAAAAAGTTTCAATTTACTTGTCAGCATTAACTTTCCTATATTCACATCCATCTGCCAAAAGTGTCACCAGTTGCCCCTTCATACATTTCAAGATGTCTTTTTTTTCCCCTTCCAATACTTTAAGTGAGGCCATAGCTGAGTGAGCCATCCCAGTCTTTTCAATTTCCCTGCAATGGGTCCTTGGTTGGAGATAAGTGATCCCAGATAATTTGCTGCCTCCACAGCTTGTCTGTTAATCCTGTCATCTTGCATACTGTTTATTAGCAGTTTTCAATCGCATTCAGGAACATTTCATATTCCTCACTGGTTTTTACACATGGACATTGTTGCACTGCATCACTGGGTTGTGGCAGAAAGTGTTCTCATTAACAGATCTGAGGCGAGTTGAGGTGTCCACTAGTAGAAAACCCAGCTCCTTCCACTTTGCCAAACCTTCCAAGAGTTCTCATAATACATTCTGTGCATATATATTAGAGAGGATCGGGGACAAATACATCCTTGTCTCACCCAGTGGAAAAAAAAAATAAAAAAAAAAATCACTCACTGTCAGGGTGTATTTATTGTCTGTACTGTGGTCTGTTGGTGGAGATTTGCAATGAGATGCTCTGGAATCCCCATGACCACCAATATGGTCTAAAGACAGTCATGGAGGACAGTATCAAACACTTTGATTAGTCAATGAAGCACATGATCAGTGTATGAGACTATACTCTGCATTCTGCAAGTCATGTGATGGATATTTGCAATTATGTCATGTCCCTCGGCCCACACTGAAACCAGCTTGTTGTGGTAGTGGTTCGTCTTCTCTTTCCCGCCCGCCCCTACGCAATCCTAGATTACATAGAGCAGAAGTTTGCTCATGTGCTATATCAGGGAGATGGTACAATAGTTACTGAACTGTTAGGTCTCCCTTCTTTGGTAAGGACAGAAAGATTCTCTTCTGCCAGTCTCCTAGCAACGATGTAGGACTTACTTTGGAAAACTTGCAAGGACTGCATTTGCCAATCACTGAACAATACTGCAGGCACATTTAGCCCTGGTGCTTTCCCAGGCTTCATTTTCAAACATGAAACATTTCCGCTCACAGGATTGATTGTTCCAGCTCGGTACTTTCTCGTCATCCTGTGTGATGACTGGCTGTGGTGAGACATACAGATTGTTACAGTAATTTCTTCACTTGTGTTTACTATCACCCTCAGTGAGAACTCTGCCATCACGCTGTCATTCTGTTTGATAGAGGGGAAAACCTTTTGGTAAAAGGTCTGACCACTGAACACGCATTTTATATTATTACTCTTCATAATTCTTAAGTTCCATACATTTTGCCCTTGTAATTCACTTTGCTTGTCTAATGTAACTTTGAATCTGGCTGCTCAGTTGCTTGTATTCCCCTCCTATGTTCTTCCATTTCCAAGCCACTCTTTCATTCTTCCACCAGCTCAAACACCTTCTCAGTTAACCAGGGCGTGGCCAAACACTGACTTCTTGGAATATGTGCTTTGGCATATAATAGCATAATAGTTTTTGTTCTATTCCAAAATTCATTGGGGGTTGTTTTCACCCGTACTGATCCCTCAGACCCATTCTGGACAGAAGTTATCCAGAATCAATGAAAATTATATAAATCCAAACTCAGTGGACTTGTCAAACTGAATTAAAATTTATGATGTTTGAAGCTAACAGCTTATTGTCTGACCCACTTCAGATTACATGCACTAAGGGAAATCTTTGTTCATTGGACATTCCATCTCCAGAATTGCTGTATTATTAGAGTCAATTTGGTAGCGTCATACTATCAGGTGGCCTCCATGTGTGCAGCATCTAGGATGTTGGTGAAGATGGTGTTTGTAATGAACAGGTGATTAGAGCAGCAGAATTCAGTTAAACATCTTCCTCT